TCTGATTTTGAAATGCAAATACAATACAATATATTTGCTCATCCAATACTTCCTGGTCAAACTGCGTTACTTCTGGGATTCCTAGTTTGAGCTATAATTCAAATACTTCAAATTATCATAAAAAGTCAGATATAGTTAAATATTTGAAGTATTCTTAACAGTTGGCGCAGTTACAATCTGAAAAGTATGCAAAATTCACGAATCCAATATAATCAAAACACCTTCCTAAAAGAAATCTGAAGATATTACAATGAGTCCCACATGTGCTACGCATTTCGCAGTCTAGGTGACGAGGGTCAGTTTATGAGAGGTTCAAGTCAGTCCCACAGACGCCCTGATCATTCTGATGGGGGCTTGAATCCCGTAGCTGTGATGAACAATATTGGATATGAATGGATCTTGAGGCTACATCGGCTTGAAGAAAAGATGGAGAGGGGTAGACTTTGGTTGATCTACGTGTTTTGAACATCAAAAGCAACTCATAGTCAGCAGCATGTTCCCTCGCAAACCCACGCACAAATGTACATGGATTCCACAAAATTATCCCACCGAAAACCAGATAGAACACATCTACGTCAATATAAAATTCAGAAGGTTCAACATGATGAGAGACGCTCAGTCATGAGAAGCATAATAATAAAAAATCGACCTCTGTGTACAGTCTGAGCAGGATTCAAGATAGTAAGAACAAGACATCAGTCAACAATAGCCAAGCAAAGCAAAATGAAGTCGATGCATAAATGAAACACACAGAAGAAAATAATTGAGTGAAGAGGAATATCAGACTTGACACGAGAAAATACGTGACAAACCTGAAAATTACACTACACAAGAGGCAACAGAAGGAAGTATAAAATAGTTGTACGATACAGTGAACAAGCTTCAGGGGACTATGTAGCAGATCAGAGCAACCAGTCAAAGACAAAAGATCAAAGCAATTATTGAGAGGGTAGATGAGATGGACAGGATACTTTGTAAGGCTCATGAATAGACCAGCACCACTGTACCCAGTGACTGTCAACATGGGACGCACAGATCCTCCAATAGAAGATATCCCATAGTAACATAAAAATTAAGCAAGACTATCAAACATATCAATAACGATTAATCAGTAGGACCAGATGACTCATCAGCTGAATCTTTGAATTCAGATATAGTAATAATGGCGATGGTATTCTTCTTCCTCATCGAAAGAATCTAGAAGAAAGCTCGAAATCCATTAAACTGGAAACAAGAATTCCTTGTCAGGGTGACAGATAAAGAAGATCTTAATAATTGTGCAGACTACAGAGGAGTCACACTACTTCCAGTTCCACGCTAAGTTTTGTACTGCGTTAATAAACCGGATGAAATACTCACTGGACGCCAAACATTATGACCAACAAGCTGGTTTTATAAACATTAATATTAATCAGATCAAATCACAAAACTGCCAATTATTGTTGAACAATCAGTAGAATGGAACTCATTGATGTTTGGTGGCTCTGTTTATGACTCCATTCATATCGTATGAATGTTATTGAAATATACATGTAGCCAATCCTCGTATATAATCATCGACTTAACTCAAGTTAGTGTATAACTGAATTAAATAAGTTAAATATGAGAATGAATTTCGAATACATACATTTGATACAATCGTTGATCCAGACAAACGATCAGAGAAGCAAAGCGAAATGACACGCGGTGGAGAAGGTATGTAAGCCAAGCCAATTTAATCAAGTGTTAATCAATATTTATAGCCAGATAAAAATAAGCTACAGACATATGATGAATAGGATAAGAAGTGCGCACACATACGTTCATATAAAAACAGCCAGTATAAATAGGCCAATAAGTGAAAAGATCAAATTGTGGCTTAAGTACAATAAATAGATTAGCTTGTCCTGAGGTTAGAATAATTTATGTGCGTTTAATATAACACACGACGTTGCATTATACTCGACAGATTTACAGAACAATAAGTACAAAAGAGATTACAAATTCAAGTACTTCAGACTGAATTTGGTGGCTTTTAACGGTGCAACTCTTATGGTTCTATCCAGTGTTTTAGCGAAATTCTGATTATCTTTGTAGGCCCACATGGTATGTTTATTGCAAACTGTCCTGTCATTTTTATTATAAAGTGGATTTACCAAATTAGCTGCTTCAGGTTCAGTTCACAGAAGTCATTTCTTGTACTTCCTTCGAGAATTATAAACCACATTAGCACACTAATTTGTAAATTATCATTAGACCAGCTGTGTCGAGAGCGACAGGGGCGTATCAGAGCTTCCTCGTCTGTCAGAGTATGGTTTAGCTCTTAGAATGGCTTCTTTTACCAGCTGTAAAGGGAGAACTACGCTGAAAATCCTTCCGAAGTGTTTTACTGGACAGTATTGTTTTTTCATTATTTTTCTACTGTTTTTTTCAACTTTTACTCAGATCTATTGTAATCACGTTTTATGTTTTTCAATATTCTGCCTGGGTTTTATCATTTGACTTTCGCTAAAAATTTCCTTGTATTATTTGATTTTGCTGTTTCACTTTCTCGGGCCATAGACAATATTATCTTTTACGACCAAACTCAGGGTCGATGATTGTTGACCATTACTGCCTACTGGAAAACGTCGTTCGAATCCTTGGGGATAACCTTACTGATCTTAAGGTGCCGAACAATTATTTACCAGTCATTCTTTTTGCTGTTTTGCAGACCGTTTTAGGCTAGAGAAACCTTTGGTTGTATACCACAGGGTGTACCGTTCGAGGTATATTGTAATCTTAGTATAACTTTTCGGTAAAATTTTATACGAGTCTCCTGAATATTTTGTGTACGCTATGAAGGAGAACGTAGTCTTGGCGTATCACATAGTTCTAACAATCTTTGTTTTCTTATTACATCGTCGAAATTAAAGTTCATTTCTTTGGCTCTGCGTTCAGACCAAATACTGAAATTTCGGTCCTTACACTTACAATTACTCATTGCCGTCTTACAAAATATTTTTAATTCCACATCCATCGGTTATTCCTGTACTATTGAATAGTACCATAACGAAACAAAACTCCAATACCAGAAGTTCACTCAGCCAATAAAGAAGGACATCATTTAGTTCACTAAATGTAATGATTAGCCAACGTGGTCTGCTACACCAACTTGCAAACTGTGAGTCCGTTCCTTCTCAGAATTTCATAAATCATTGCTTTATTTAAATTTTTATATATTGTGTTTCGGAACCTTACGAAACTCTTAAACGATCTATTCTTAAACGCGGAGACCTAACCGATTGACAAAGTTTGAATCAATTTCTTAATAATATTGATCTGCAGCACGACCAGCGACAGACATGTTGTTAGGAATGAGAGAGGTTATCGGCCAGAGAACTTTCTATGATGGCCTATTTAGACAACATTTCATGTTGGAACTTCTTCATCAGGTTTAAGCTGTGCTTGTCTGGCTGTATCTGCCGAACGAATTTTAGAGATCACTAAATCTTCTAACACCAAGGTTTTTTCAGTCAAAGAAAAACTTACAGGCGGAAAACGAACAACATATCGCCACATATGGGAAAAAGTACGTCTACCTTAACGTGGGTCTACGCAAACCCATCCACTGGATTTTCGTTGATGCTGATGTTTCTATACCAATCATTGCTATAGACCTGCTACAACATCATAATTTACTCATCAACACGTGCAAACGAAGGTTAGCAGACGGAAACACTAATTTATCTGTGTGTAACTTTCTTTTCCGGTTGTAGATTATCTTCAGTCACAATTAGACACTCGATAGATCCATTCTATCAACAATTACTCAATAAGTACTCTGGGATATACCAAACACTACAGAAATTGCCGTGTGTAACCAGAAATGTTACATATCACATCGCAACTGCAGGAGCACCAGCGCGCCTACTGACTCCCGAAAAACTGAGGTTGACTAAGAACGAAGTCGACCACATGATAAACTTAGGAATCATTCAGCCGTCAAACAGCCATCGGCATCGTCCTTGCATATGGTCTCCAAAATGACAGCAACGACTGGCGTTCAAATGATAACCATCAGCGATTAGAAGCGAAAACCATTCCTGATTGTTACTTGTTGCCTCGCATTCACGATTTGCTAGGATTGAATCTATCACGAGTTCACTTAATCTGTGAACGAGAAACAAGACTCGGTGACAAAACACCAGTAAGCTAGCTAATGATGCGTCCCAGCCCCGCTAATAAGAGGGAGAAGTCCAAGCTTGGAATGGGGAAGTATATTCTGCAAACAGCCAAACAAACAACAAACACAATTCAAAACGTATATATACAGTACAAAACCGTCCTTAGGGAGAGTAACCAAATAGCATACTAAAAGATACGAGAGCATGCAAGATATTCCCCAGGGCGAAATAAGGAATAGAGTTGACAAGAGCGCCTTTGGCGCGAAAACAAAGAAATTCATATTTTCTAAATACAACTACAAAATGAGGTCCTTTCCCAAGTGAGATCTGGGGATCTAACGTTTTCAAAACGTTGAAATTAGTGCTACTTTGATCCCTTTCCAGTTGTCTTCCATAGTAGTTTCATCGTTCAGTAGATGCTGTAAGGTTTGCAACCTGTTGTTTAGAGTTATCTTGAATTTGTTGAGTTTGTTGGTATCTCGTTGAAAGGCTGTATTGAACCTTTGTAATACTGTTTTCCCAGCTTTTCAGTGTTTCTTTAGCCTCCGTTTCATCTTGGCAACCACCAGCTAGTGGTGACCTGAAGCTATGTCAGCTCTGCTCTTGGCTCTCACATCTTTCACTGACCTTCCAAATATTTTATTAATGCAAATATGGTCGATCTGATTCTCTGTGGTTGTGATCCGGTGAGACCCATATGACCTGTATGTGAGTTTACGATGGAATTTAGTGCCACGTATAACCAACCATGTAGTTGAAAGCACATAAATTTGCAAATCTCTTACCAGCTTGATTCCTTTCTCTCATTCGAAATCGTCCCGTGATATCTTTCTATCTGTTGCTGTCTATTCAGACCTTGAAGTTTAGGTCTTCTATCAGGATGGTCAGGTCGTCTCTTGGTCTCTTCTCTATAGTCGATTGCCGCCTCTCATAAAACTGGTCTTTATCGTCTTCATTGGTGGGTGCATAACAGTGGATAACATTCATTGTGACCCCCCTGTGTTTTGAAGGATGCTTTGATGATCGTGAATCCATGAGATTCCTACTCTATAAGTGCTTTTCGTGCTTTTTTGGACAGCGTCAGAGCAACTGCCTGCTTGTGTGTATGTATGTGTGTGTGGAGCATTATTTTCTTCATGACCAGAGTTCAACAACATCTCTCCCAGATCTATCCTTTTCTGTTCAGCTTCGGTCAAATGTGTTTCACTTATTATGAGCACCACCAAGTTGTATCTCCTCATTTCCGTAGCTATTTGATTGGTCCTCCTTGTCTCTCACATTGTCCGAACATTCGATGTACCGATATTAATTGTTACTCTGGTTGTTAGAAGTGGCATCAGCCTCATGACTCCGAAGAATCTCGGTCTTCAGAGTGAGGTGTCATAATTCTTCTGAATGAAGGTCCTTCTACTCACAGGACAGAATTTAGATTGTTTATTCTAGTTAGTGTTTTATAGAAATATTGTTTTGTATGGAATGGGATTTCTGACCTCATACCCAACCCTCCTCCTTTACCTCGCCTTGAGACCGTCTTTGGCTCAGATATACTTTAAGCGTGCCATACGTCTTTATTTTTGCTGTCAAAATGAAGGAGTGTTTCAAAAATCGTAAGCGCTGATTACTTAACATGTGATGGGACTTTTTACCACATATTATGATGAAATATGTTTCTTCTTCCTAAAGTGATATGTTCACTTATCTTAGTGTTAGAGTAGTAGAAATCTGTATCTGATTTATTGTGATCGACCACCTGTAAGTTGCAACCCACCATTTATTAGATAACGTTAAAGAAAGATTTGGTTGCAAGTAATCATAAGGTAGTATATTCTGTAGTACTAGCACACCCGGAGTTAATAATCAACCCGATGAAACTATGTTATAGCCCAAAGCCGCCAATCAGAAGCAGCGAATTATTGATAGGATCAAGGACGCGTAAAACACGTGCTAGCAGCCTTCAGTCCTGATTGACACTGCTTCCTGCCTAGCCCAGCCAGTTAAGTCCAGAACACAAGTCTCAGCCTCTGCAATATGAATCAATATATTTCAAACATACTGAGTTTATATAACAGTCAAACAGACCATAACGTACTGAAGATGGCACAGGTATTCAGTGTTTGACAACGCTTTTACCAGTAACACCCAATATATGGCGTACTCACCAAGAGAAATCAAAAGACAGAGTCGAGGAGATTGGAAGAGTGTATTTGGCGATAGCCAATATATCAGAATTCTCTGATCTAATCTGGCTAGCGATTGCAGTAGATGTTGGGCACAGCGTTACCACACGTGATCTGGTGCGGATGCATGACCGAGCGTCTTCAGCTAGATGAGTCCACTAAAACATATGGTCAGCATCCAATGTTGAAAACTTACAGAGCTATTTATTTTGAGGATTTATTTACCGCTGCAGTACCAATAAAATATGAAACAACATTTTTACAAGAATTAACCAGATGTGGCTATGAGTGGGGGAGGTAATAATTAATATGTTGGGTATAACTCAAGAATGGTAAAACGTATAATAATAGTTTATGGGTCAAAACAAAGCTTATAATTAGAGGGACATCAATATGAATAGTTTAGTTATTTGGCAATTATACGATAAAAATATACAATTAGTATTGGTCCATAAAAGGATCCCAAAGTTACTAATCATTATGTTTATCGTGATATAACAAACTGTGATGACAATTATAATTCAGTAACATACAATCAGGTGAATTATGCATCTCACATAAACTAAACTAAATGTTTAATCGTGCAATTTGATTTCGCCTGTAAGTTGATTTGCCTCATGTAACTTCTGATTATTGAGAATAAATTACTGACACTATCACTATCACCGCTACTTGTAGTAGAGATTCTACAACACTATTAGCGTGATGGAATCATATTACAGATTACTGATAACAGAACGGAAAATCTCGTGAACATTTAATACCGATGCTGGTGTTTTTGGTGTTTGCGAACACTACTATCCGAATGCTACGTTTTATTCATTGTAGTCATATCCGATTTCATTTGCGGAACATTTCTATCTCTGGTTAGGGAGCTTATAGGGCCAGTGAAACATCCCTGAGCTCTAGACAAATTGACAAGTAGTTGAGTCACTAAATGTCAGACAGTTAGTCAACACTCGTCACAGTAAAGGACAACCAATAGGCATCAGTTAATCGCACTGTATGTTCTGGCCCATGATCTTAAGATCATGGCTCACTATCACCCAAAGAACATTGCGAAACCAGATTTCAGGCGCTTGTTATTTCCTGATGCTGTACCTATTCGCCCTTGTATTCTCAGTGAGCAAGAAGAAGCACTTAGCCACGTTGATAGGTATGTAGCGATGAACGAATTCCCAAAAGAAGTAGTTCTGTGTGTTCGTGACATTGAATTCCACCTCGTCAGTTTCACTGGATACACATAACTTAAGACTCTTGGTCACGTATCCGCACCAGATCACAAGTTAGTACGCTATACCACGCATCTCTTGAAACGGTTTGCCAGTTCAGATCGAACGTTTCTCAACATATATATATGATTGAATTATCTCATTTCTGACTTCTGATATGATTGGGTTGGTATGCTTTGATTAAAAGGGTGCTAGGGGTAAAGGCGTTGTTAAACTCCGAATACCTATGCCATCTTTAGGCATCCGCCGTTTTTAGACTAGCTAACCAGGATGTGTAAATCTGACTGAAGTGCATATGGATCTGTCTACTGTTAATTCTAGCCAACTTTCTGCATCATCAGAGTAGTATCAGAAACACATCTATACTTGACAGTTCATTTCCATGCACTATGAAAAGTAAAAGATTGGACAATAGCGTCGGGGTACTCCACTGAATGCTGATTTCAAGGAAGAGCATTCGGAGTTTGTCCACGACCACAGGTCTGGCAACTCCTGAATTTTCAGCTTTAAGAGGAGTCTATTATTCAGCGTCTTATCAAATGGTTCGCTGAAGTCTAAATAAACAACACTCACCGATTCACCGTTGTATAGAGAATCTTTCCATTTTTCTCTTGTTCAATAAATCCTTTCATGAAACCATGTTGTTTTTTTCCAACAAGTTATCGGTTTACGTGAATACCGTTGTAGCCATTTTGGTTATTCTTTCTAGTTATTCATTTACGACACTAGAGGCTGACAGGTCCGTAGTTAGGTTGGCGTCGTCTCAATCCTGTCCCATGAATTAGAGTGAGCATTGTATCATCCCAGTCCATGGAATACTAACTTTAGCATGGTGACATATTGGATATCATGGTCAGTGGGGCGGTAATGCGATTCTTGTGATTTGTCTCAATATGTTGGAGTGACGTCTATCTATTCCCGTTGATTTTTCCGTGTCTAAAATATGAATGGACTTTAGTTAGTCATTTCGATCAAAGTTCACAGTAAGCAGATGGTTGTGGGACTCTATTTGTGTATATTCTTATATCTAGCGGAATCTTCCGAAAGAATCCAGTGGTGCGTTCTTGTCTTGTCATATGTGTGCGAGATCGGTCTGTTCACTTACTTGATCACGTATTGTGCATATTGCTTCTTATATTTTCGCCGATCCTCCCTGGTCGGGCTCATAAACTAACGCTTTATCCATGGATGGATGTGCTTTATCTTCTTTGTGACTGTGCAGGGTATGAAAAGTTGCGTTACTTGACTGTATAGCTACTGGAAATAAATTCGTGCCCCCCTTACTGATGCATAAGAGTAAGTTTTCCAGGTTTCTGTCAACGCTATGGAGTTGAGTGCCTTCATGTTTTTTTCTATATGTTAAAAGGGGCCGGATAAATTTTTTGACAGAACATATCATTCATGAGTTGGAATATGATAAATGCGCGATTTCTTTACCATGTCAGTGGAAGGAATTTCATTTAGCTGGCATCATCACTGTGTGTGAAGATTAAGTCCAAGAGAGATGAGGACTTTTGTAGGTCATATCTACTTATTCTTCTCAAACCAAAATTTCACACTGTTATTTATTCACTTATTAATACTGATTATTTTTGTATGACAGTATGGGTAATAACTGTTCACTCTGTTCATTACGTGTCTGTAACTTCTTTTTGTTAGACCATAACTATCAAATCACACTCGGTGGAAAGGAGTTGGCTCACTCGTCTCCAATGCATGTCATATCGTTTCTCTTTGCTCTTTACTAATCACTTTGCTTCGCTTCCCTGGTTATCTTTTCAGATCAATGAGTGTACAAAACATATGTATTCAAACTTCATTGTCGTATTTGACTTGTTGAATTCCGTTATCTATTAGCGCAATTTAAGTTAATCAAAATATGCGGGAGTCAGTCGCATGCATAGTGCGGTAATAAACGGCATGGATTGAGCTGGGATCAGATATAGACCTGCGAAAGTAGTGAGCCCGTCGATAGCGATCGTCACGCGGTCTAATTGGAGTCAGATATGGTAGGGCCACTAAAGTATTTAGCTCACTATTTCTATGCCTGCACGTATCCTTCGTTCTGTTGATAGAAAAAAAAGACTAGTAGCGAAAACGTTTTGAGTTTAACTCGTGAGTGGCACACAGTGGAGCGCGAGGTTGCCTGTTCAAACACACAAGGTTTTTCAACATTCAATATGAGATAATAGGAAATACAATTCCTATAAAAAATAAAGAAGTGAATGAATAATTGAGTTCTATTGTTTTGATATGCATTCAGATGTTTGTGATCAACTCCTAACTAATCAACTTAAGTTGTTGATGAAGAGCCTCCAAAACTTTCAACGGATGAACTCAACGTAGCTCACTCAATTGACGACCTCATCGATAATATCATCATAACACTACTGAAGTTGTAAGCACGACCTCGAACTGAACGCTCCCTACAAATCTATGCTGGCGGTAAGCATCTCGGTTTCTACGCGTCCGATAAACGACCTAAGTGGCTGACTTAATCGACAAGCAAATTAAACGAATCGCTCACTTATCCAACTCACTCAGCGAGGCCGATACTTTCGGGATATAGGCATGCTCAAGTCCTATTATCTCATCGGTACTTTATCCTCGTGTCAACTCTTCTCAT